TAAATGCAATCAGAGATATAACTTGGGATTTCGCTAAACCTAGGTGGGAATACATCGTTTGGTCTAAATGTGTGGAAAATAAAAGAGTTTTTTAACACAAATCATTCCAAACGTGGGAAGTTTTTTCTTTTTTCTATTACAATATTCATTAATTAATTTAGCAAGAGATTTAAGACCCACTTGGATGTCCTTTGAAACTATTGTATCGATGTTTGTGAAAGTAAGTGAAAAGGATATCATAAAATATAGACCTGAGCTTTTGGGACTAGTCCCTAAAACTCGGTCCAAAGGAATGGTCTTAGGACAGGTCCTTGTAGAGCCTGGTCCCAAACTGCACCAGGACTATAGGAGGAGTGATCGGTCCCTTGATTGAGCCCTCCTCCAAGGCCCGGCCTGGGACCAAACCTTTTTGCTTAATTTTGAAAAGTCTTCTATCAAATATCCAAAAACCCTTTGAATATTTTGAAATTGACAAAATATTAAGGGTTAAATTGATATTTTACAAAAAAAATAAATAAATAAACCCACACTTCCAATTTTTTTCACACCAACTCTCAATCTCTCTACTCCAATCCAATTCTCATTCATATTTTCTTCAATTCAATTTATATTTACATTTATAATCTATTCATATAATTTATTTATTTATTAATATTATTCAATTTTTTCTAGTTTTCAGTATCATCTCTTATTCATATTATTATTTAATTTTTTTCATTTTAATTATTTATTATTTAAATCATAAATTCATAATGGAAGGGCCAAATAAGTTTTACGTTCCATCAATTGAAGAAATAGAAGGGTTCGATCCATTTTCACTCTTTCCACAGGCAGCAACTGCAATTCAACGACAGCAACCACATTCAGCTGGGATGAGGTGTAGCCAAACATAAGCGAGCTACGACTCCACAGCCCAACCCTCCCGACCATCAAAGAGAGTTGTGTTTGGTGTATGGCGACACTTCACAAAAACAAAACGGGCAAAGGCGAATGGGAGGGTGGAAGAATTGTACGGGGTATGTAATTTCTATGGAACCGTTATTGACACTGAGAAGGAGACCTCGATGATGCGACAACATTTGGAGAAGAAGCACCCCCAAATAATGCAGCTGCCTGGTTCATCTTCAACTAGACCAGGTAAGCAAATTCAAACTCAACTTAATTTTAATCCACAATCCTCAACTCTATCAACATGGCAATACAATGCACTCCAAGCACGAGAAGAAATAGCAAAATACATAGTTGCTGCGGACTCTCCACTTTCTTTATCTGAAAATCATTTTTTTTATTCAATTGACTAAAACTGCATTTTGTCCAGTATATACCCCTGTTAGTAGAAGTACAAGTAGAAGAGGCATACTAAAACTTTATAACCAAATAAATATTCAACTTAAAAATGAATTTCAAAATTTTAGGAATACATTATTACACTTACTTCAGACATATGGGCTTGTAAATCAAAAACATATTTTTTAACTATTACAATTCATTACTTAGATCATGGTTGGGTTTCACAATAAAAATTGATAGGTTTTAGACCATTATATACTGCACATAATGTTGACACTATTTATTTTACAATACTTGAAATTTTGCAAGAATATGTATTACGTGATAGAGTTGCAGTGCTAACGCTAGATAATGCAGCTACTAACACCACAGCTATCTCTTTATTTGAAAAGAGATTGGATCCGCATGGTAAAGGCAAATTTTTTCACTAGAGATGTGCTTGCCACATCATCAATTTAATTATTAAAGCAGGTTTAGAAGCTATAAATTCAAAGATTGAGAGGGTGCGCGCGACTATCGGATTCATTGTCAGCGGTAGCAACAAAAGATGGCAAGAGTACGTCAAATAGTATAAGCAAGAGGATCCACCGGTTCAACCTTTGAAGTTATGTATGGACATATCTACCTGTTGGAACTCCACCTACTTGATGTTGGAAAAAGCTTTGCCAACTGCAAAACAAATTACAGATTTCATTAACCGAAAGAATCTGCAGGAAGTTGTCAGCTATGATGATTGGATGGTTTGTGAACTTTTTTATTCATTTCTTAAAGTTTTTTATGAATCCACTAATACATTAAGTGGTATTTATTATCCTACTACTAATTTAAGGTTAGATATTTTACTTCAAATTTCTAAAACTTTTGCTAAATATAGATATAATAACGTCTTAATGGAAATTGTTTCAAAGATGGAAAAAAAATACAAGAAATATTGGTTAGATATTTTATTCTTATATGGATTAGGCCTTGTTGTAGATCATAGGTTTAAATTACAAGTAGTTAATTGTATAATTACTGAGATAGGCCAGCATTTAGGACATGATTATACGTATTATTTGATTAATTTTAAGCAAAAATTGGAAAGTCTTTTTCCTTTATATCAGAGCAGGTATAATGGAACTGGAACGTCCAACAGAGATGACCCTGATGAAGACAACTATCAAGAATCGAGCATGTGGACGTATATGGAACATGGCGGTGGAAGTAGCAGCTCCAACTCGTACATACATAGACCAAATGAGCTGAATCGCTATCTACAAATGGACATGTCCTACATGACGAAGAATGAGAAAACGTGAGATGGATGTGCTTAAATGGTGGAAACAACAACGCAAATGGCACATGACATTTTATATGTGCCGGTTTCTACAATTGCATCTGAGTCAGCATTCTCAATGAGTGGCCGAATTGTTGAAGACAGAAGATACTCTTTAACCAATAAGATGATTGAAGTGATAACGTGTTTACGAGATTGGACTCATGCAGAGATAAGACTACAGCAGGACCTTGAAGATCTCGAACTCTTTAGAAACACAAATTTGCAAGATGTAAATATTGTTGACTATGAATAATTTAATAAAAACAATTTATTTAATTATTTATTTCTGAAGTGTGATTGTGTGAATATTATATTTATGTTAAAATTAATTAATTAAATTATCTCTTTAAAGTTTAAATTTAAATCCCCATATTTATAAATAATTATTAATTATAATTAACCATTAATTTATTTATTATTTTTTAAAATTAATTAAAAATTTACTAATCTCTCGGGGTGGAAATTAATTTTCCAAGCCCCTAACAATTACATAAACCCCCCTACATAATTTTTTTGCCTCTAAATATAAAAAAAAAAAAATTGGGGGGTGAAAAATAACTTTTCAAGCCCGTAGGACTGGTCCTATGGGCCCAGGATCGGTCCAGGTCCTAAAATTTCTCAGGGGCCTAGGACCGGTCCCAAGCCCATGAGTGACTGGTCCCAACCGGGCCCAGACCCAAGCTCGGTTAGGACCGGTCCCTACCCATGTCTACTAAAATATATTTCATATATAAAAAAAAATTACTTAGAGGACTTTTTGTTTTAGAAAATCAACCATTGATTTTTTTTTTTTTTTTTTAGTTTTCTTTAAAATAAACCTTTATCAAATACTTTTTTAAAATAGAAACTACAAGGATCCAGATTCAATTACATAACCAAAAACCATTATTTTTAACTTCTTGAAGAAACGAGATTTTAAAGAAAGTTATTATTCTCATCTTCTCAAAAATTAATTGAAGCTTTTATAAGTGTTTTTCAAACATTGTAGGGTTACACAAGTATGGCGGAGCTATACGAAGGCCACCCAACCAACAAAGATAATTTTAATTTACACAAAAAACATGTCATTTTCATTTTTTAATATTCATTTATTTTAACCTTCTCGTTCGTTGAATTTGACAGTTAAGCCCCCAAAATAAAAAAGGTGACTTCCTAAATTAATTTTCTATATTTGAGCAAATTATTTGCTGAACATTACATGTTGACCCCTAAAAATAAATTTCCTGCCTCTGGCCGTATTCAGCACGGCTCTAGTTTTTAATTACATTAATTAATGAACATTTAAGATTTAACAGAGCTTCTTATCTTGGTGAAGTTGGTCAAGACTTTTGTTTTGATTTTTGAAATTTTAATCAAGTACTTGTAATTTATTGAGAGTTAGAAGTTTATTATCATTATTATTATTTTAATTGAAGTAAACAAACATGCTTATTTTATTATAAATCCAATACAAATTATTTTAATTACTTTAATTTTAAGTCACCCAGACACATAACACATTAGTAAGAATGCATGAATTAGTAAAATTATTAATTTACATTATCACGTGAAATACTACTAATAAGGAGTAGCCACTAAAAACTTATTTGACTATTAACTATAGGGTCTCAAAGGACTTGTTCAAGTGTGCACAAATTGACCCAAACACTTCCAAATACCAACAAAGAAAAAAATGCACAATTGTACTAGATAATCACTTCATCAGTGGCGTAACATTAGCCAAATCTATTAAAAACTTAATAATAGAGTTAACAACGTTTTCCCACCAAAAAAAAAAATAAATTAATGACGTTGTTTTACCTTCAAACTTTTAAAATACTAGTTTAGTATCTAAAACATAATTTTGTTAGTAATGTATGTTATGAGGGAGGATAAGATAGTTAAAAGTCTGTTACAACTAAGAGTAAAATAGTCGACAAACATTTTGGCCGCCAGAGAAAGAAGAAAAGAAAAGAAAATGGACGATTCATGTTAGCAAGAGATGGCAACGTTAGCAGCGTCGCAGTCGGCTGTTTTTGTGTTATTGTTCGTTTTCCGGCTAATCCCATCGTTCCAAATCACTTCCAAGAAAACCCACAAAATCCCCGCTACAAAACCCAAACCTTCATTTGTCATCCTCACTCACCATTTCCCACCACCTCCAATCGCACGACCGACTCTTCAAGGCGGATATTTTTGTGTTATTGTTCGATCTTCTTTGCCTTTGTTTTATAACAAACTATATAATAATATTTCATTCTGTTTTAATTCTCTTGCATAAAAGACAAAGAAGAATATTTTATATTCAAAGTATTAGCTTATCAATTATTAACACTTGGAGCAAAAGAAATTAAGTAATTAAGGAAGTCGTTGATATATAAATTCATTATTTTATTTTGATAGAATTCTCGCAGATACATCATAAATAGATTCATGATTTTTATTTTTTATTTTGACGGAGAGAATAATCTCGCAGACAGATCATACGCCCTTACTTATAACATTCTATGATTGCATGAATACCCTGAAAAGAACATACAAGTTGAAAGTTGGAAAATCCAGCTTTTCTGCACAAGGTTTCATGTTCTTTTTCTGTCCTCTCTTTCCCAGCTGGAGTATGCATTAACATAAGGTTGTCAGCTCTAGAAACATACATAGAGTACTTGCTTGACTCAGGTTCTTCTGGTAATACTGCGCTTAAAATTATAAGTTTCCCATTACTTGGCAAAGCTGTGTAACAGTTCCCTAAAATTTTAATGCAGTTTTCATCACTCCAGTCATGAAGTATATTCTGTAAAGAGGAGAGAGGACAAATTAAGCCAACTAATTAGTCATTGAAATGTTCAATATATATCAGATCTTACGGAAGAGAAGTTTATTTCCAAACAAACCTTTAACGTAATTGCATCTGCTGTTGGGACGTTTGAAAACATATCTCCTCCAACATGTTCGATACCTGTGTAAAATTATATAGAGATTAAGACTTTACGTAAAAGTTTCAAGGTGTTTGTTTTGCTTAGGTGTTGACACTGTTGATACCGTTGAGAATTCCAGTCAACAATCTAACTAATGGTGTCGGAGAAGTTCTACTGAATCTTTTTGGGCTTGTTGCTGCCTTTGACCAAACTGGCAACACCATTCCTTAGATTGTCAAACGATGATCTCAGTGGTTGTTGCTCCATTCGTCATTGGCGGCAACAACGGCAATCGGCCACCAGAGTGGCGACTCCGCTGGCCAGTTTTCTTTTTTTGGTTTATTTCTAATGCTTTTTATTATTATATTAATTTAAATAAAAATCATTTATAAATTTTTTTATAAAAAAGATTATTAATTTAAGTATCTGAGAATATAAGTATATACAACAAATTAATACCAGGATAAGATGGTGCGCTTTGTATGACATGAGGCAAATCATAATTAATGCCCTTAATATGAGGGTACTTGGAGGTGATCATGTGTAGGCATTTCCCAATTCCACCACCAACATCAACCAATGATGAAAGCCCTTCGTATCCTCTGTATACCTCTAGAATCCCCTTCATCACAAACTGAGACAGACCGACCATTGCACTGTTGAAAATATTGTTGAAAGTTGGATCATTGTTCATGTACTCGAACAAAGTCAGACCATGAACTTTCTTGAACAAATCACCGTCAGTTTCTTCAAGAATTGCATCCTTCAAGCGAAACCTATACAAACACAAAAACCAAGTTAAAATAAATACAACATTAAGTGTTGAAGTTGAAGACGTTTTTGCGTATTGAAGTTCCACTGCATACCGAGCTTCCATCAAAGCTGGGTGATAGGAAAGGATCGATACGTCTGATAAGCTCAGTTCATCATCGTTGCTGACAAAAAGTTGAGAGGAAGGTGTGAGAGCGTAAAGCTTTTCAACTCTACCATCTTCAAGCGTGCGCAAAGAGCACTTAAGCATGGAATGGCTAGCCAACAACCGCAGCATGCGATCAAGCATTGAAGCTGCGGATGGGTTGTTAGTAGGTAGCTGAGACACTATTTCAGAGGCGGAAATATGAGCACCAGGGCCTGCTTTAGCCATTATTGCAAATAAATTCAGCTCAATGGCGGCTTTGAGGACAATAGGGAATGCGATTAAGTTGCTGAACATAAAGGCATTCAAGCAATCTTCATTCCCTGTGTTGTTAATGGACTGTTGTTGTTTGTTATCTAGAGAACCCATCTTTCTATCTTCTAATATGCTGTTATTTTAAGATTACAAAGATTTATTTGTAGTTCAATCAGCATTATAAGTAGACTTTTATAGTGACCACTTACCCTCCTCATTGCAATCAATTATAAAAACGTGGCGTCAACAATGTGTCACAATTATTCAACATCAATGACTAAAACAAAAAATCCATAGAAAAATGAGCATTGTTCAACATCAATGACCAAAACAATAAATTTATTTTTACTTTCTAAATACAAGACTTTAATGTTCTTATAAAATAAAATGTCACTTGTCCAACAAAAACATCTCCCTAATGGCTTAAACCAAAAGAAAAATAAAAAAAGAAGCTGAAAGCTGAGAAAAATCAACATTGTTAGGCCAACCCTGGGACTTTTATTGAGATTGAATTTCCCACCTTTTAACTCATGACAGGCCCTTATTTGAATGCATGAATTTAATAGTTCATATAAAATAATATTTTCACTCAAAACAAAATACTCATCAAATTAAAACACTCCTCCCAAATGATTAAAAACAAAAAAATTCATCATTGTAATAGAGATTGGAGAAACTATTTAACACCTTCAATTTCATACTGATTTAAGAAATTATTATTTTAAAAAAAAAAAAGTTCGATTGATTTGGATTGATGTTCAATAAATTAGGAAATAGTAAAATTTAGGTTCTTCTCTCAATATCTTATAACGGGGGTTGTTAAATTTTGTTATAATATGTCTTTTGATGCTCTAGAGTTCCTTACTGTTCCTCTTTGGTACTTCATTTAAGAAATTTGTAATCTTAACCCTAAAGGATATTTTTATTTTTTGTTCTTATAACTGAGGTATTCGAATACCATTGTCAGACTAAACTAGGACTAAGATAAAAGTTTTAGTCTTAGTAGATTGAGGAAAATTTTTATAATAGAAATCATTGAGAAAATATATATAATTTCTTGTAGTCTATTCTCAATCAATAATAAGAATGTTATTTCTTAAATTTTAAATGTTAATATCAAAAAATCTTCTTACAAATGATATCAAAGTCACACATAGGCGGATCTGCATTGTGACGAGTGGAGGCTGATGACCCCACTCAAATTATGACATCAAATATTGTCCCTACTTTGTCTTCATACAAGTTCCAATATTTGTGGTATCAAATATTCTTTCTACTTTATTTTCATACTTTCTATGTCAAATACCAATATTTGAAGGAGACTATTACAAATAGTGGAGCGGTCAAATGTAGGTTTTTTCAACTCCCAAGATTTTTGGGATATGATTAAAAAAAAAAAAAAAAAAAAGAGCTAGAAGAAGATAAAAATAAAAATCCGTAGAAAAATCAACATTGATTCTGGGATTTTAATAAAAAACCGTAGAAAAATCAACCCTGGTCCTGGGATTTTTTATTGACAATATTGAATTTAGTCTATTAACTCGCTGTAACTCTGTAAGCACTTATCTAAATACAAGACTTTAACATTAATATAAAAGAATAAATTACAAAATGTTGTCTCAAATAAATGCTCGTCCACCTAACAGGCTAACACATTCTTTCCAAATGACTAAAATAAAAAAGTCTAAAAACAACATTATTGTTAACAAAGTCATAATATAGCAGTTTGTAATTAATAAAGATCGGGGAAATTATTCAACACTTTAGATGTCGATGTCAGAATGATCGAGAAATAAGAAATTAGATTTGGACTTTTATGTTCAATAAATTAGGAAATTGTAAAATTTAGCTTCTTCTCTTAAATGTCCAATTCATTTTACTTCTTTTTGTGTGTTTATTTCATGGTTATTAGTATTCTACAATATGTGATATGTATCTTATAATATGATTATCATCAACGATACGTATCAGAGAGTGTATCCTAAACATTTCGATACGTTGATATATATTCTACGATACGATACGTATCGGTTTACATCATTAAAAATATCGATACAAATTGATACGATTTTATTAATTTTGGTCGAAGGCCCAAAAAAGTTTTCAGGTTGGATCACTGAAACCCATCTAAATTTACCCATTTTGTATGGAGAAAGTGAAGATCAAGGAAGATGTGTTACTCATTTTGTATGATAATAATAACACAAGTGGAGATATAAATATTGACATTGATCTTGAAAATGGTATCAATTATTGAGAGGAAATTATATAGATTCTTAAATTTGTGATTAATTTTTATTATGTAATACCATAATTTAAAGTCAATAATATTACAAAATTCGTTAATTAATCTTGGGGATGATATTAATTTTTAGAAAAATTTTATTATTTTTTTTTTGAAAATACGTATCCTACGATATGCGATACACGATTTAAAAAATTAGGTTTTCAATATACGATACGATACACGATTTGACAATCATAGTTTATTCTATTTGTATGTCTATAATTAATATCTCTTGAGAACGCTTATGTTTTATTTTGTATAGTTCAATCGATAATTTTCGTACATATGAAATTTGTTAAAGAGACAAACACTTAATAATAATGATTTATTCGACCCTCTTATAAAAACCAGTTAATTTTAAGTTTTGTAGTTTTTCTTTTTTTTTTAACAAAACTTTTGAATAATCTAAGATCTTGTTATCTGATTATAAACCAAATTGATTATAATTAAATTAATATAATATTAAGTCTTCACCTACCAGCTTAAGCTTTTATAGGTGGGATAGTAACTAAACACGGTATAATCCAAGTTTCAAGGTTTAAAAAGTACTAATTCCTAATTTTAATGTGGATGAATTTAAATCCAGAGTGAAAAATAAATTAAAGCCTAAGTTTGAGTGCATACCGACATTGCAGCATAGCTGGGTGACTGTGGAAGACCGCTACGTCGGATAAGCTGGGTTCATCACACTATTCTTCCGAGCAAAGAATTGAGCGGCAGGTGTGAGGTATTGACTTTTAAGTATTTCCCCAAAATTAATTTCTTAATCTTATAACAAATTGCAAAACTAAGTAGCTACCGAAATTAACTAAAAAGAGAAGGTTGAAAAGAGGTTTCGATAATTTCACAAACCTCTAATATAAGAGTAATACTATACCCACAACCTCTTCTCACAATTTTTCTCTCATAATCTTAATGTAACAATTCGCAAATGAATCTCGTTTGCTTGTCATGAATTTCTTGTCTATTTGCAAACTGATCAGTAATAGACTGTCAGGTTGAGATGGTTAAGATTATAAGAGAATTTGTAAGAGATTATAAATGTAGTATTTTTACTAATATAAATAAGATGCATGCCCAAATTAAATAGTTAATCAAACCAGAACAGGAAAAAACTGATTCTAATTTATCAATTAAACCCACCTTATAGCAACAAAATCAGAGACTTACGGCTTACCTCTTCCCTCAACCTTTTTTCCTACAATGATCTTTGCTACATTTCAATCCTGTTAGAGTTGTCTGTGTATTCTATAAGGATAATATTACACTTACAACCCAATCTCACAAACTTTATTAAGCAATCCCAAAATGGCAACTCACAAATGAGTCTGTTTAATTGCGAACTGACCAATTGCTAACTATCACATCAGAGTTATGAGAGAATATGTAAGATTAGATTGTAAGTTAACCTTTATTAATTATGTAATCAGACAAATGTTGTAACCGACTTTTACACTTATTAGTAGACCCAAATTTTCAGGCAAAAAACACCTCTCCATAAAAGCATTAACATAGTTAATGATTCAAATAAGACTCCCAACCATCTTCGGCTAGCTTCTCAGTTTTTGTCAAGACATCGTTCTTCATGTCTTTCAAGTACTGGCTCATTCTGCACAAAATATTTTCAAAAAATCAATAAGCAGGAGCAAAGGAAAATCATTTAAATTACTATTTTCATGAATTATCTATATAACCAAAGGGAGAGAGGAACCCACCTTCCCAGTAGATCAGCATTGCCAACCCCCAACATCCTTACTGCGAACAAACCCGCATTTGTTGCATTATTTATTGCGACTGTTGCAACTGGGACATCCCCGCTCATCTGAATAATCAAATTAGAATTTATCAGTACGAGGAAAAAAAAAATTCTGAAAGAACTAATGTAACATATAAATTTTCATCTTGAAGAAATTGATACAAGCAATAATTGGTATGTCAGGCTATACAATTGGACGTTACTTTTGTGCAAGGGAAGTCATCATGGATACGCCAACAGGTTTAAGTAGTTTTTATGTCATTCTGTCATTTAAATATTCTCTAGTACCGTGAAAGTTATAGATCCAATAAATGTGGCCTAACATAATAGCGTCATGATGTTTCTAGAGCTTACATGAGTCAAAGAAAATAAACTTACTGAATACTGATTTCACTAAAAATATCCAAACGACTGCAATGTAATTAGCCCCTGGCTATTGCAAAAATGCTTATAAGAAAAGAGACCGACAAACCAAAAGGGTACCTCTTAGATATATCGTACATGAATTTTGGGTGCCAATAGATTAATTTCATAAACATTTAAGACCATAGGAGAATGAATATTCTGAGCATTACGTCTCCTATAAATATAATAGTAAGAGTTAAATAAACAGACTACCTGCACAATTGATAAGAGTGAATCAATTCCATTCAATGCAGAAGACCGCACAGGAACGCCAATAACAGGCAAGGGAGTAAGTGCAGCAACCATACCTAGAGTTCATCCCAGAGCTGATGTAATTCCAAACGAAAAATTGTGGATTATGATACTGTTTATGGAGAATATTATTAAAACTTGCCTGGCAAGTGGGCTGCACCACCAGCACCAGCAATGATGATGGAGATGCCTTGATCCTGAGCAGAAGAGGCATAAGTAAACATCATTTCAGGAGTCCGATGTGCTGATACTATTTTAACCTGAGAATTAGAATTACAAAAGGTCAGGTAGAAATAGATTATACACAAATGAATATCACACATCAAATGGCTGAAGAATATGAATATATGCATATAACAGTAAGGTTCTAACCTTATGAGGTAAATCAAATAAGCTAAGGATCTTAGCAGCATCCTTCATAACAGGAAGATCTGAATCAGAGCCCATGATTATCTCAACATGTGGGGTAACTGTATTAAGCAAATAACAGAATTTCAGTGTCATACTTTCTCAATTCATTGGTGAAGGCATTAAGCAAAAGCGCATCCAGCTACAAATCACAACCAATGTAAACAACTGTTGTTTACAGTATGATCCAACAATAAAATGCCAATATGAATCAAACATCGCAACTCTCAAATTGGTGGAAGAGGAAAAATAGTATCATTATTTGCAAACCCAGACCAAAAAACAATAGTTTCAGCAAAGAGATGGAGCTGACTGAAGGAATTAATACTATAAAAGTTTTTCAATCTGTCTTGATAAAATCTTAATACTATTTTTTCTGAATTCAAGTATACTATTCAACAAACTAAAACTTACAGTAGCCAATGAAATCCCATATTTAAATATAAATCACCAAAAAAGCATTGAGGTACCCAAGGATTCAATAAAATGACCAACCATCTTTCTGTAACTTCTCTGCTTTTTTTAGGACATCATCCCCTGCATCTTCCTGATACTGGCTCACTCTGCAAATAACATGTCCAATATCATAAATTGGAACAACATGAAAGTTATATAGTTTATAGTGCACCACATTTCAACAAGAGAGAGTAATACAATAATTTTATTCGTTTGGAATTTAAATAAAATTCATCTAATTTTTTATTTATTTATTTTAAAAAATTAGAAGTTTGCATTATTTGCAACCACAAAGAGAGAGGATCCAACCTCGCAAGTAGATCAACATTGCCATTTACCCCCAACATTTTTGCTGCTAATAAGCCTGCACTTCTTGCATTATCTATTGCGACTGTTGCAACTGGGACACCTCTAGGCATCTGATTAATCAAACAGAAAAGCTTTTACGAAGAATATTTTAGAAGACAAATCACATTAAATAAATAAATCAAATTTCATTTTGAATAAAACAATAAACGGAATATGTTGCATGTGTGGCTACCTGAAAAATGTTTTCATAGAATGGAACTCGTTAGGCACACATTAAAGGGATGGATACATCTCTTTGAAATTGTCATTCAAACATTATCTTGGAAACATGAAAAAATTATGCATTCATAAGCATGATGTAAGAGAAATGCCTCAAGAGGCCCATTGCAAACAATTTTCACATGCTGTAAAAATAATTGAAAATGGTAAATTTCGCTTCTTTACATTCAAAAATATGTAATTAGCTCTTTGTCAATAGATAGAGAAAAATCTCAAGAAAGCAAACAACAATAAAGGGTACCTCTTAGGTTCCAGTTCTGAATTTTGGAGATGTGCTAAAATATCCATTTCATAGTATTTAAAGAGGATAAGATAGAAAAAGAAACATTTTTGTACTACAGTCTACCTGCACCACTGATAAGAGTGAATCGAGTCCATCCAATGCCGAAGCACGCAAAGGGACACCAATAACAGGTAAGGGAGTAAGTGCAGCAACCATACCTAAATATTGAGAAAGAGCACATAATCCCAGTAAGACCATTTGTGCATTACTTCACTATACATAGAGCAGAATGTATAAACCTGCCTGGCAAGTGGGCTGCACTACTATCACCAGCAATGATAATCCGAATGCCTCGCTCCTGAGCAGATAAGGCATAATCAAGCATCATTCTAGGAGTTCGATGTGCTGAAATTGTTCTAACCTGAAAACTCATAGTATATACGATTTCTAGAGTTAGCATTGGATTGTACGGAAAGATACCTTATACATCATTTCAAAAGTAAACTATAAATCGCGACTATGCAACCTCGTAAGGTACACCACACATGCTCAAGATCTTTGCAGCATCATTCATAATAGCAAGATCTGAATCCGAGTTCATGATAATCCCAACACGATGTGTGACTGCAATAAGCAAATAGTAGGAAGCAACTTAAATATCATGCTAAATTGGAGAGGCATTAAGCAAAAATGTAAGCAATTGTCAACTGAGAATCATAAGAAGCTAAGATGGAATGGTCAAACAATAAAACCCCAGCAACAATACTATCTAGTGTAAGCGAGAAAAATATCAATTTGAAAGCTAAAAAAATTCGACTTTCAGCAAAACATATGTAGTAAGAAGGAAAGGATACTCCAAATAGCAAAGCATGCAGCCTATTTCACTTCAATAATTTTTCCAAAAAATGAAAATTGCATAAGCATTACAGTTGTCTGGGCAATACTTCAATCTGTTTGAAGCTATCAACACAATGATATTTCAGCCAATACTATTTAATACTGAAACTTACCTGAAGACTGACCATTCGAGCTTTCTTCGAGTTTCTGGACAAGTGAATCATCCTTCCTACACAGTTGGATTCCTATATTAAATAATAGACCATTAAATATTTAACCACAACATATGATTCCTACCATGAAAGGGTCTACAAAAGGTGTTTTGAATAACTATTGAGCATTTCTTTTTTGGCATAAAAGATGGTAACTCTATAGACTTGAGTCATATGCCTACACCTCAATGATGATATAATACTCAACTCCACCTTGGACACTGAGAAAATGTAACTAATTAAACCGTTTGAATTTATAGATTACCATTTGGATACTTTGCTAATCGCCCCGTTACAATGCCAAAACGATACCTTACTAACTTTAAGCTGAATGTCACTAATACAACAGTGTATGCCACAAGCAAGGATACTGGAACATAATATAATTTCATATAAAAGAGAACTCAATTTCAATGAATAAACTGCTCCAAACAGCAAATCAAAAAGAAAAAATAAACAAGTGAAGCAAATTACTGAAATTAAAGTGTGGACCTCGGAGAAGAAGTCCCAAGAGAGTCACGTGAGGCTTGGCAAGTTAGATTCGAAGTTTCATAAGACTTGCTAGGTTGATTTTCCATTAGAAAGTCCAGTTTGTATGGTTTTCCAAGTGAAATTTTATGAAACGGAGACTTGAAGGTGAAATTGGGAGTGAAACAAGACTCAAAGTTTTTTGAAAGCACTACGTTATGAAGCATTTTAAGTTTCACTGACTCTGTGCTGTCAGCACCACGGCGGAAGCGGCAGCGGTGGCGACGGCTGTACTTTAATCCGCGGCAGGCGTGGCTCTTACTGGTGACTGTCTGCTGCACTTACCTGTTGATTTATATAGCAGAGAAATTAAGCCGAATTAACCGGGTTTAACCAAATAAGAAGGGTCGGGTTCTATCAACCTGTAAAAAAGGTATAAAATTTAATATTCAAAATCTTTTTTTTTTTTCACAATTAAATTTAGATACATTTTAGATTTGTGTTGCCCTAATTTTTTTCCCAAAACGAATGTTAGTATAGTTATATAGTGTTAGAATTACGAAGATTTATAATACGATAAAAATCTAATTAAAAATTATGAAAATTAGAAAAAAATAAGAAAAAGGAAAGTGATTTTTAGCATTTATCTAATTAAAATAAAACAAAAACATTTTAATAGTTATGAAAATTTAGGATTAGTTTTATGTAAGATTAAATGTTAAAAATTAAAACAAAAAAATATAATAGAGTATGAATGTATTTAGAAATTATAATATTATTTATAGTAATTTAAATTAAAGTTAAATTTATCAAAACAAAAAATAGATTTAAAAGTTGGGGGGTGGAGTTCAATTAGGTGGGGGATTAAAAATCACTTCTTTTAGAAAAATATGTACTTGAAATTTAGTGTAGAAAACAAATTAATGAGGTACAAAAGGGTCCGTTTAATTTATGATCCGAAAATAATTTTCAAAACCTAACTAATATTCAATTTTTTTAATTATATAGTACAAAATGTGTTAATATAATATTCACTCAAAGTCATTTAATATATATATATATATTTTTTTTTAATTTTATACTAATTTTTAGGATAATATTCAGAATCTATTTTTAAAAACATGTAGACTCGTTTCTATCAAACGAGTTTTCGTATACGATTAGCTTTTTAAAATATAAAACTTTACAAGTTCATAGAATAAACTTAATACAGTATAATGTGCCTAGGGGTGTATATGAGCCGAAACTCTTGGTGTTCGAAACTTGATTCGTGAAATTGGAGCAATCTTGATCTCGATCTCAAGCCTTGCAAGCACAGAGAATTCAGGCTCAAGATCAAGCTCGATCGAGCATGTGAAGCTCAAGCTCGGATCGAGCTCGACTCGTTTAGCATTCGGTACCCAGCTCGTATAATATACGAGCCGTTTGGGCTTGAGTTCGGCTCAACTCGAGCCAAGCCCGAGTAGCTCGGGAGCTAAATTATGAATAAAAGCTGTGTTTTTAATTAACAATGTAATATGAACACACCCATTTTATAACAGAATGAGGTAGGTTTATATTTTTGACCGTATAATCCAAATAAAAATTCATTATTGTAAGATAGAACATATTCTCAATAACAGAGTTCTTGATTCAGCAAAGCAATTTGCTTTCCCCGAACTTATACAGAAAGATAGCAGAAAACCTGTGTAATACTGTAGTCTGTAAAGACCAAAAAGATAAAAGATTAGCTTGCAAGGTCATTAGGCTTTACTAATAATTTTACTTTTAACTGAATTTGAGTGATCCTCAAAACAATCGTATGCATCCGAAAAATTGTAGCTCTAATATAATTCATATCTTATGTTGTTCATTCCTAATGCTTATCTGGTTTTGTCGAGTCACTGTTTCTTGTCTTCCTGATACCGGTTCACTCTGCATGTATTGTATATGCATAGATTATATTGCGCAAAATTTCAGCATAGAGATCTGATCAACGATGAAACCATAACAGACAGAAAGGGAGAAGAACCAACCTTGCAAGTAGGTCAGCATCACCGACAACCCCCAATGTCTTTGCTGCGAAAAAAGCTGCACTTTTCGCGTCATTTACTGCAACTCTTGCAACAGGGTCATCCGCTGACTCCTGAATAATCAAAATATAAAATTTTGTAAAGACTTTCAACATTGATGAATAGAAGAGAAAAAATTGCAAAAACAATAACAAACTTAACCATTTTGTAAAAATTAAAAGAATTATGCATTAAATAACTATAGCCTAACAGAAGTATATTCATCATCCCTTTGCCAAAAGTTATTTGAACCAACAAAGCACATGTGCTAACATATATTAATACTGCTTCTCAATAAATCTAAAACCCACAATGTAACTAGCTCTCCATCAATAATTTAACCCAAACAATAATAATAAGCTAAGAAAACCAACCCACTAACAAAAAGCGGCATATCATAGATTCCAGGTGTGAGTTTCTTAATTTGCCCAATAATTAATGTGGTATTGTTATGTACCCTATAAATGTTAATAGAAGTTAAAAAAAACAGTCTTACCTTTCCATCCAATTCAGAAGAGCGAATAGGGACACTGATAACAGGTAAGCTAGTAAGGCCAGCAACCATACCTACAAAAAGAAGGCAGAGCTTTTGTAAACCTGGCGAGACAGTTGATGCATTAAAACGACATATATGAAGCATTATTTATTAACTTGCCTGGCAAGTGGCCATCATCACCAGCAATGATAATTTGAATGCCTCGCTGCTGAGCAGTTGAGGCATAAGAAAACAGAGTCTGATGTTCTGAAACTGTTCTTACCTGAAAATTATAATTTTGTATTACAGAAGGTGAGATAGAAATGGATGATATATAAGGACATATTATACGTCCAATAACTGGTAAATTCAAAAATCAGAACCAGCAATCAAAGGGTAACCTCATTAGCTACACCAAACATGCTCAATATCCTCACAGCATCCTTCATCACATGAAGATCTGAATCAGAGCTCATGAGGATTCCAACAGACGGGGTGTCTGCATCAAGCAAACAATAGGAAGCAACTTGAATATCATAATTCATTGAAGAGCACTAAGAAAAAAAAAAAAACATAAGCAGGTTATCTTAAGCACCTAAAACAAATGCAATGGGATGGTCAAACGGTTAAATGCCAAAAACAATATAACCACAAGGTTTGGCATCAGCTTAAGCTTACAAAAATGACTTAACAATAGCATTTACACTCAAATCATCATAATATTTAGTCCATTAAGATTTGATACAAGAATTAAGGCACCAAAAGGGCAAATTACCTACAGATGGACAACCACAACTGTTTTCCTTCAGCATCGAATTTAGCCGTGCTTCTAGTGTGCCTATAGATGGCCCCACAAGAGTTATATGACCCATCTTCCGCTGCTTTCTCATTTCTGCAGCAACATTATAGCAATGTCAGTACTTGTTACAGCCATCAAATGCAAAGAGAACTGAATATGATCAAGGTAAAAAACTAACCTGGCTTATCATACCAATGAACACTAGCACCTGGAGTACCCAAAGCCCTCTCAATCAATTGATGAGCTAAACGGAAACCAGGCTCCCCCTAATCATAAAATCAGCATGACAATAAACATTTTAATAAGTGCTTCATCTTCTAAGAACAGCAATGAACACACTACTTTATTGACATTTAATGCCATTCCTAAAAGTAGGACCCAGAATAATGCACAAGCACAGGTGCATCTGTGCATGCAAAGACACATGCCTATATGCAAGTTCATGCACAAATAACTTTTTAAAAGGCAATCAAGCCACATGACCTGAAAGAAAAAGTTTAGGCCCCAGATTTTACAGTAGCATAACAACAGAATGAAAAGAGAAAAGAATTTCACCTCATCTTCACCCAGTAAATTGTACATGATAGCAGCTGGACATTTCATTGATGGATCACCAAGCGGAAGGCCAACAACAGCACGCAAATGCTGCTCAAATTGTGAGGTGTAACAAGCCTCAATTGTGTGGTGACCACTATTGTGAACTCTAGGAGCCACTTCGTTTAGTAAAATCTGTTCATATGTTTATAGTAAAGCATAAAAACAAGGCTAAAAACTTGAAAAAGCTAATGCAGCAGCTTAAAGAAATGAATATGTCATGCAAAGTTAATAATAGTTGCAAAATTACAACCTGTCCATCATTCGTCAAAAATAACTCCACTGCAAACACACCAGCACCCTCCAATGAACTAACAGCTCGGTAAGCAACATCATTGGCAAGTTTCTTAGTTTCCAATGGCACAACAGCAGGTGACTTGACTATGTGGCATATGTTTTCCCTACAAGATCATATCCAGATCAAATGCACAGATTACTTGGTAAAATTCATCTGGAAACTTAGACATTATTGAAAGTTTAAACACAACAGAGAAAACAAAAAAAGTTATCCACAGAAAATGAAATGCTGAATCTAAATCTTACTTGTGAATTGTTTCAACAACAGGGTAGCACAAGATAGAATTGTCTCTTCCTCTTGCGACAATGACAGCCAGCTCCTTTAGTCATTGAAAATTAGAAAGCAAAATGTCATCATTATGAAGACGAAAATTAAACCAAACAATAGGTTCTAGAAAATAACTTGAAATCTTCTCATAAATCAAAGAAATAGGAGGTAACGGGGAGTGAGTTCAGCGCCACTTCCTAGAAGGTAACTACTAAATTTTGAGTAAGAAATAAGAATAAACTTCTCATACTTTTAAAGTTTGGAATCAACAATGTTTCCATTACAGAATCTATGAAGTTTCTAACACCTTAAAGTAGAAAAATGTGCTAAGGGAAAAACCTAAGAAACTTGAATTGCACAAGTGACTCTGCAAGAAAAAGATCCAGCAATGTAAACAATTGATAAAAATGCTGGTACTGTTGTGCATCTGTCAAATGATACCATAAAACCTATCTATTTTCATATAACTCTCAAATCCTATTTCGCCTGTTTCCAATAACCTTTTATGTGCATATGAGATTTTGCAATGCGAAGAAAAGGTTTGAGAATAAGACAAAAAGAACCTGAAGCAAAAACTACCATCATCATTATTAGAGTAAATGGTACAAGCCAGACACTGACCTTGACAAAGGGTGCCCATTTCTCAACATATAAACCACGATCAAATCCTCCAAGCGCTGCAAAAGATTGAAAAGCTTAAAATCACATGGAAATAAGAAACACCCACTCATTAGTATTATGAATTCAAAAATAAATAAAATACCACCAGTAACCAAATTTTACACAAAGCATAACTAGGGACGAGGTGACCAGAATATTTATAATTCCAAATAAGTGGCCATTATATTTTTTATCAAACCAAACAGAATCTTCCATAACATGGCAAGTAAGAGTAACATTACTTCATGAAAATAGATGTAGGTTTCAGTTCATTCGGAATTCATATGGTTTACATTTTTCAGGAAACAAAATTTTACCGTTTATTGCAGAAGAAAGCTCCTCTTCACTCTTGGCAACAGCATTGCCACGCCCATCATAGGCTAACCTTTTGCTCTTGATCATAAGAGGGTAGCCAAACTGACAAGCTGCTCTCCTAGCACCTTCAAGATCATCTATCTGTCTCAGCCATATATCAGGATCAAGAAATTAAAATCTGAAAATATTTTCTTTCACGAATAATTTGGTAGGAAAATATGAAAATCACTCTGTAAATCCTCAATAAAACATTTATAATGAATGAAAGCCAACCTGCATGAACTCAGGAAGTGGAATTCCATGCTGAGAAAAATGGACCTTTTGGAGGAATTTATCCTGTAAGATGAAAACACGGGTCAAGCAAAATGCAGATAAAGAGGAACAGAGTTATGTTTGACATCAAAAATTCTGAATAAACAATGACAATAACTGGGTTTAGGATAATTAGGTGGAAATTCATGGAAGAGTTGTAACACATTACATGCACAAAGATGGGTCTCTACAAAATTATATATAACTAAAGATTCTTTAGAGAGACACACAAACATCTAAACCATTTGACTTGATTGTACACATTACACAATAAAAAGGCTCCTCTAACCACCCAAGTGCTAACCTAGCCTGAATAGTAATACAGTAACATAACATTAAAAATCAAGTATTTGCAACTCTTGCTCCTCACATCATCTTCCCTAAGGATAACGGTATCTATGGTAGTTGTCAACAAAAGATATTTAGAGAAACAAGCCTAAAGAAAAAGGGATACGACAGTAAAACCTTCTTGTTTTCAAATAATTTAGCCTCATATATGCATAAGGCTAACTACAAAATTTCTATTATCAAATACCCCAAATGAAAAGTTTAGCTATAGTATCATACATCCAAGAAGAATCTACATTGGTGAATATGTATATTATCCACTAACAAAGGTACACTGTTCGAGCAGAAAAACTCAATGCCTAAAACATTTATTTGTATAGCTTATATATGCATACACTTAACAATTTGGAAGATGACATTCAAACACAGTGAGAATGATGAGAGACTTACTTGGATTATCTGAATGGTAGAGGCTTTAGGTTGACAATCTACTCCTTGTTGTTCAAGCTTATGCAATGTAGCGACATCAACATGTTCAATCTCAACAGTCAACACTCCACATCTAACTACCAGCAACAAAGACAGCATATAAAAAATTTGTTTCCACTAAAAACTATAGACATAGTAGCATCACCACAAATTACAACAATTTCAAGAAAAACTGAACCTCTTCGCGAAGTTCTCAACCGTAGCACTATCATCAAAACTACCAACCATGTGATGATAAGAAAGTGCACTCGCCGGACAGTTTTCAAGTGGGTCTAAAACCATGACTTTAATAGCCATTTGTGAAGCCGCTTGGCATAACATTCGACCTAATTGTCCTCCTCCAAGAACACCAACAATCATCTCAGATAATCCATGAACAGGTGTATGATCCTTCCTACACGTACAACAGATATTGAACAAATACTTCTAACTGAAAACGTAATTACCACAAAATAAATTGCAAATGGTGTTTTTGATAAACATTAACTTCCTTATCTGATCAAATATTACTTTCCTTACAACCAAACACAAAGCAAAATAAGATGAAAAATTCTAATAAATGATAAAATTTGCTAAAAATAAAATATTTAATTTTCTTTCTTTCAAATCTTAATCCTTGGTTTTATATAAGTTAGGTTCTATATTGAATTTCAATAATGCTATAAATACAAATAAAATTTCAATAATACTAATTTACGAATTTTAGACCTTAACTTCAAATCTTAATTTGTGTCGGATTAATATATTTAATACCTTATTGATTATAGAAAAATAAATCGTCATACATCAAGTTAGATAACGAGGGCATTGATAAATTAAATGTCAAAACAATTATGATCTATATTTTAAGTTTTTTAGTGTAATATTATTTATTAACTTTTCTTTAATTTTTAAAAATTCATTTATCATGGTATTGTATGTATAAGTATGTGTTGAGAAAAAAAAATTAGAATTGGAGTTTCATTTAGTTGTATACACATATATATGAAAATAAATAAGATATATTTGACACCCTTAATTTATATTAACATATAATATATTTAAATTATTAATATGAAACATTAAAAATAAAATAATATTATTTTATCATTAACATATCCTTTTTATATTTTTTTTATAAAATATTATCTATTAATCGTTTACAAGAGCTTAAAACTGAATTTAAATGATGAGGAGATAATCTTAAAATATATCTAAATTTAAATATTTGTATCGAAAAAAATTAAAAAGTTTTGGATATAATTATTTTGCCATGTCTAGTTAGATATATCTTAGATTAAGGTTCAAAAATTTTAGTCCTTATAGTTTTGATTCAACAACGTCAAGGACGTATTTTAATTTTTATCAAAGAAAACATTCTTCTATTTCACTTTTTATCAGTAATTAAAACTTTTTAAAATATAAACAGTTGTAAATGACTTGAGGTTGAGTTTAGAATTTTTATTTTATTCATAAAAAAAAAAGTAAAAGTTTTTATTTTAAAATAAAGGACTTTTAGATTTCATAAGTTGCTTTTGCTGGAGTTAACTGCAAAAATACCCCAAAGAAAACTTATATTATTGATTTTTTATTAAATTTTTTTGAAATAAAATAATAAAAAGTATTAAAAACAAAAAGATAAAGAAACCATTGAATTGCCCCAATTTCTTTTGTTTAAAAAATTTAAGTTTTAATATGTTTTAAAAATAAAAAAAAAATAAAAAATGTCTATTTTCACTCTAATTACAAAGTAGTAGAAACAAAGTGCAAATAAAAACACATCAACTTAATAGGCAATACTCTAGATAACAATCAACATTGCACCATTTTTACACCTTGATAATCTAATAGTAAATAGCCCTCAATAATCGTGGTTGATAAATATGGAAGATGCCTCATCACAGTGTTCTCACAAGAGTAATGTTATGCTTACTCACCATCTTACTAACCATTTTACTATCCTTTGTAAATATAACGTATAATACGGGTACCATACGCATAATACAGGTACTATGTGTAATTTTAACAAAGGTAGTAAGACAATTAGTAAAACTCGTGAGTAAACATAGTATTTCTGATTCTCACAATAGTAGACACTTCACCTATTCATGGTAACATACAAAAATAATATAAAAATTAGTCGAATAAAAGAAGTGACGTTTTAAATAAACTTAATGAGTAGCACACAAAATATGTGAAGAGAAGTTTTTAAAAAATTAATTAGGAGAGGCGTTTGTTGCAATAAATAAGGGAGAGAGATAAATTAATTTTATAAATATCTCATTCATATTTTAACCATTCATTTTGCGTTAATTCAAGGGGTAGCGGATATATATATATGGGAAAGGTTCCACAACCCCATTTTTTTGACACAAGTTTTCCACCTTTAGATGAAAATACAATTAACGGTAAAAATATGCTGATTTATCAAGCTGAAAAATATGTCTTATATTGCCAGCTTTATGTAATAAATATTTCCAAACAAATTAATATAACTCCATAACTATCGCCCTAATCATTTCTCAATAAACAGCTTCAATGAAATTAACTTAAAAAGACGCTTTTCAAGAAATCATACCTGTTTTTTCATGGATGAGACTGTTTTTCAACAAGCTGCTCAAAATCTTCACATGACAGAGATGACAAATATCTAGTGTTGTAATAAAAACCGAAACCATATGCATGTTTATAAGTTACCAATACTTGTGGAATGTGTTTAGTGAGTTTCTCCCAGTTCTCACCTTTCATCATCCAATAGATCTCTTTCAACATTATCCGAAATACAAGAGTCTTAAGATATATTAGATGCTCAATTCCTGTTGGAAGCTCCTTCAAAAGTGGGCATGGTCCAATCCGAAATTGTTTTAAATTAGGCATTGAACCTTTATCTATCATCATCCATTTTAATTCTCCAAAGTTCTCGAGATGCAGCTCTTCAAGCTTCGGAAACCAACCATCTTTGAAATGCAATTTCTCATCACAATACGTCATCCTGATCATAAGCCTCAATAAATTAGGTAAGGCTTGAAGGACACTTATGGGATCAATATCAGTTGTTCCCTTAAAAACCAATTGTATTTTAATTAGTTTTTGAAGTTCAGAAATCCAAAACGGCAGCTTCTTAATATTCCCTTCTAAAAACAAACTTTGAAGAGATTGTGGAGCAGAGGCCATTGATGATACATCAACAATCTCTTCTTCAACTTTAGATGTTACAGCCAAACTTTCAAGATTTTCCATATTCTCGACAATAACGAACAGATCCTTCCAATCTCTATTTTCAAGCCTAATGTCCAGACTCCTCAATAGCCTTAGCTGCTTAAGCTCTTCAAGAACTTCAAAATTTCCTTCCACCAATTGTAGCTTGTGTAGGTTCGTTAAAGCCCCAAAACCCTTATGTATTTTGGTAATGAATCCGTCCCTATGAAGTACTATTAGACAGCGTAATTTTTTCAGATTTTTTATCTCAGCCGGCAGCTCAGACACAAAAGTGTGCTTCAAATCTAGAGATTCTAAGTTAATAAGCATGCCTATAGACTTTGGAAGTTCTTTTATTTTTGTTCTTCTCAAACTTAAGTAGTGCAAATGAAAGAGATTTCCCACTCCCTCAGAAAGGTATTCCACTGGACCATCTTCAAAATCAAGTATTTTCAGAAGGTTGAAATTGGCAAAAAATGTACTCATGAAAGACTCAGGAAGTTTGTCTACATTGAAAAGACAAATAGACGAATCTTTGAATCCTTGATTCTTTCTAGAGCATCATCAGTACCTATATTTACTGAAATACGACGAGTTTTATGACTCATGTCTTCTCCACTTAAGTCTCCATAGAAACCCAGTTCTTTAGTCTTCTTTAGAAGGATTTCATGCATCAGATCATGGACTTTACATGTTCTAACTCGTCCTAAAACCTTTCTCTCCGAAACTTGAACCAAACTTCTGTCAATGAGCTCTGTCAAGTAATCTTCTGCAACTTGTTCAAGCGAGTAGCTTTTGCTATACTGGACAAACCCCTCAGCTATCCATAGGCGTATTAGTCTCCCAAAAAAAATTTTAAAGCCTTGTGGAAACAAGGCAAAGTACGAGAGGCATGACTTCAAATGGTGAGGGAGATCATAATAACCTTCAGATAAAACTCTGTTGCAACTTCTCAGATGGGGATCGCTCCCTAACTTTGAGCCTAAACCACAAAGTAACTTTTGCCATTCAAAGACAACCTTGTTTTTGTTTGACAAAATACCACCTACGGCCACAATTGCTAATGGTAAACCTCCACACTTTGCAAGGATTTCATGAGACAATTTCTCCAGCTCCGTTGGACAAGACATGTTAAACCCAAACGCTTTTCTACAAAAGAGTTCCCATGCCTTATCTGAAGGCAAATGTTCAAGCTCATGGACATTCACAAAAGGAGCTGAATGAGCAACAGTCATGTATCGTGTTGTCAGCATTACCCTACTGCCTTTGTTATTATCAAGCAAAGCATACTTAACATCTTCCCAGAAATCATCTTTCCACACGTCATCAAACACAACCATGTAACACTTGCCTTTCAAGAGCTTTCTCAATGCAGTCATCAGATTCATCTCATTCATCTCTTCCGTGTCCTCTATCTCCCCTGAAGCGTACCCTGTTTGACGGTTAACTTGCTGTTTAATTGTCTTTAATAGATCTTTCTTCACATATTCTTTTCCAACTGTGATCCAAACCTGGCAGTCAAAATGCATCTTCACAACATCATTATCATAAATTTTCCCAGCAAGAGTGGTCTTGCCTAATCCTCCTTCACCCACCATCGCAATCACTGAGAGATTTGATTTTCCATTCACCAATAAATCAATCAATTTATGTTTAGAAGATTCAATGCCCACAATCTCTGAGTCCTCAATGAAAAGGGAGCCAACTCGAGAGTCATGTGGTATAACACCTCCTATACTACTACTTGATCCTTCATGTCTGAAGTTGAAATTTTGTCTTCCTTGATTAATTTCAACTTCAGACATGAAGGATATCTTGGATAGCAGTTGCAACTTCGTGGCGCAATTTCAGTGTCTTTACGAAACGACTTATTTTACGAAGAACACCAAGAAAGCCACTGCCACGGGGAAGTTGTGCCTTCTTCAAAATGTAATCATCAAGGACATCTTCAATATGAAAGGCTTCTTCCCTCAATTGTTTTACCCATGTTTTGACACCTTCATTACTTCTTCCTTCTTCTTCAGCTGCAGCCTTTGCATCTGCATCCCTGAGGCAAGACCTTATCCTTTCCAATTTACTTTTGATGCTTTCAACTTCTTGTCTTGCGTTTCCCAGCAACTTGACTTCTTGGACAAGAAGGGAACTCAAGGTTTCTATAGCAAACTCCACCGCAGCCTCTGCCATATCTCAACCCTTATCTCTTACTGGATTGATGCAATCTACAAGAATTGATGCCAAGAAAATGAATAATAACATTAAATGTTTTCATTGTGTAGCCGATATTAATAAATGAATTGTTAGATGGAATTAAATGGGTAAGTGTACAAAACCTTAGAGCTGACATGACAACAAGAGAAAATTGAATTAATTTTATTAAAGAGATATAAATAATTTATTTTCTTGTAGTTATACTTCTTTGTGATATTTGAGCCTTGATGTTATTGAGTAAAGGCCTATATATCAAGATAACTACAAATAAAACACAATTAACTAACTCCATTTTCCCACAATTTCTTAGCTACTAAACAAAGCACATGCAGGTACATATATAAGAAGAAATCAACAAGTTCCACTTACCGATCTTGATGATGAAGCACCAACTTTGAGCTTGAGTGAAACACTTGAACAATTTATCTTCCTTTCTCTTCTGCCAGAGTGCCAAACCCAGATGGAAACTTAAGCTACTGAGTACTATGAAAATATTGAGTAGATTACTTCGAAAATTAGATCTGGAAAAATATTCAGTTAACGGAGGGGAAGAGAAGGAAAGTCAAGACAACATTTAGTCAATATTCAAAAGGAATTTTATTTTTGAGGGTTACCTAATTACAATGAATTTTTTATTAGAACTTGCGACAAACCTAGCTGGAATTTCGTCGGCCATTATCTGATAAAATTTCTTCAGCTTATCCGACTGAGTCATAGTTTTAAAACAACTCCGTTTACTGATTTTGTAAACCATATTAGGCTTACAATTTATAATCAATTTACCACCAAAATTTGCAGTGCTTTATTTATTTATTTATTTTTTACTGCATATTAATCTCAATAGTCAATATAGAGTTATTTGACTTGAATATTGGACCACATGTACTGTATATTTTTCTTTAAACCCTCTTCTCCTTCAAACTCTGACTGCATATTAATTTCAATATAGAGTTATTTGACTTGAATATTTTTCTTTAAAACCTAAGTATAAAATTTCTAAATTTCTTTACAACTAAAGAAAATGATATAATCGTAATATCTGATACTTTAGAACTGAAAATTTCAAAGTTATACATCATAACATGTAAATCCTATAACATACTAACTAGTTTATAAAATTTTTTATTGGGATAATGGGCTTGGGATGGTTTATGTAGGTCCGTCTAACCTAGGGTGGTCTGGCCCAGCCCGGGGTTCCGCTATCCCTTTTAAAGCTTTTATGAATCAAAACAATTTACAAAGGGTTTCCTATACTACAACATTGTAAGAATACATCAACGTATAATTTATTTCTAATGCTTTCCGATTCACTCATTCTATATTAGCTATGCTTTGCAACAAGAAATAGCTTTAGTTTAATTTGCTATATGGATGAGTCAAATAATTAAAGACTTGTGAGATTGATCAATATCCTTCTACCCATTCTTTTCTTCTTTACTTATACTTTGTAGATGCCTTTAATTCAATAAAAATAGAAAGAAAAATTAAATAAACTATCAATATCAGAAAGATAAAAACAAAAGCTTGAAAAAATATTCTAAAAATAGGGTGATGAGTAGTGAAAAAGAATACTTTCTTTCTCTTTTCCCGCAATTTCTTAGCTATCATTGATAGTTGGCAGTGGGCCGTGCTGTGTCGTAAAATTCAAGGCCCATCATGCTGTGGGTTGTGCCGTGTCAAGGCCCACAAAAATTCATTCCCTGTTGTGCCGTGCCGGCCCACCAAATTTGAAGGTCCATAACACGACTTACTATATATATATATCATGTCGTGCTTTGGGTCGTGTCATGGGCCAACTTGCGTGCTTTGTAAAAATTAGGGGTGTTCAAAAGAATCAATTGAAACCGGAACCGACGGTTACCTAGGGTTTGGTTCCGGTTCCTACCCAGAACTGGCCGTCAATGAGTAGGTTCCGGTTCTAAATTTTTGGAACCACTATTATGCGGTTTTGATTTCTATAGTTAGGAACTAGAACTGGAACCGGGAACCGAGACTAATATAAAATAAAATTAAAGAACAGGGAGTTAATACAAACTTTTTGTAAAAAAAGTAACGTGAATACATTTATAGTTATATTTCATAACATTTAAATTAAGTTGGTTTGACTTTTGAGAATCTACCTTTGCAAAGTAATAGAATTTGTAATTTGTAATTTTATTTTTGTTCAAATGCCCCGGGGGGGGGGGGGGGTTTGCTGTATTTGTAAGTTTTTAAGGGTTTTTTTGCCTTTTAAAAACTTTTGGTGGGTAATATAATTTTATAGGGTACCCAGAACCGAAACCGGAACCGAAACCGTTGTTACAGGTTTCGGTTCTGGGTACCTAGGAACGAACCGAAACTGTATAGCAATCAGTGAAGGAAGGCTCCAACTAGCCATATCTAAAGCCTTGGATTCGACCCCCGGCATAATATCCAACTACGGATTTCCCATTCCTCTCCCCTGTACCCGGAGCAAAGGGAGGGAGATAACCAAATGGCATCAGGAACGAATGAAAGAGCTGCAACTTCTCGCTCTTCAAGTCCATATCCAGATTCCAATGCTTTAGCCCATATCTCCATCTTCTGGCAAAGCAAATCTTTCTCCCTCAACCTTCACTCACTGGATCGAAGCTATCAACTAACGAGTGAAGCTTATCTCAACCATCCCTATGCCTCAAGGCAATGCACTCCGGGCTCAGAAGCACCAGAACCTGCTGTAGCTGCATATGACCCTCGAAAGGAAGTACCATCGAAGAGGCTCCTGGATAAAAGCTCTGAACCCTCCAGTGGGGTTCCAATTCCGGTTCCAAATTTCAAGGAACCGTCGATTTCGGTTTCGGTTTCGGTTTCTTCAAAAAATGTAGGGTACTCGGAACCGAACACCCACAGTAAAAATATTTAATATTTATAAATTATGGTAATTTTGATTTATCAGTAATAATTATTATAAAAATATTTTATATGTTATATTTAGTGACCTTTTGTATTTATATTAATTAAAAAAATATATAATTACTATGAAATATAATAAAATAATGAGACATTGAAATATTAATTGAATTTCACCACTTTTTATTACTTATAAGTTATAATTATAAATCATAAATACAAACTTAAAAATTAGGATTAATAATTGTTATACATCTTCATTTTCATTAATTTTTAAATTCTTAAAATCTTCAAATATATCTTTGCTGTAAACATAGATTAGTATTTTTTTAAGTTCTTTTTTTATTTTTTTCGTGTCGTGATATGTCAACCCACGTGCATTTTTTTAAGGCCCACGGCATGGCTTAAATAATCGTGGGCCGTGATAAAAAAATATAAATTTGGTATGTGTATGCTTTCTAATTTAATGTTCGCAAAAACACTTAAAAGTTTTAATTTTTTTTTTTTACACTATTTATATTAATTTAATGTTCACAAAAGGACCCAAAAATTCACCAGGCTTGGACCTTTCCGGATCTTGATATGATAAATCTGTAGATATTTTATCATGAAAGAAACTCAAAGTTTGTTCTCGTCCGTAATCCATGATTACCTCATACCGATTACCGAATAATGAGGTAAGTATTTTCGGGTGTTTGGAGATAAAATAATAGTCACCCCCTGAGGTTTAAGCAAATAACAATATCCCCCTTCAGCATTAGAAATTACAAAATACTCCTGATGTTGGTGTGTAATTTGAGTATTTGTTATCTAATTATGTCACCCTGCAAAGGATTAACAAAATTACTACCCGTTTTCGAAATAAAATAATAAAACCTTAAGGTCACGTTCGATAATGTGAAATTTACGTTCGTTTACCCTTTTTTTTCCTTTTTGTTTTTGTATTGAAAAATAGAAACAAAGATTTGAGATGAAGACAAACTCTCTTTAATAAAAAGAGATTGTTCAACTTTCTCTCTCCGCTATGCGTTTCTTAGCATCATTTAAGAAGTTATCATTTAAATCTTATGGGTCGTTTGTGAAAGTTTCCCTTTCATAGTATTGTAAATATTTCTCTTTACTAAATATATTACACATCCAATGCTCCCAATTTCTCTTTCTTTTTCTTCTTTCAATTCATAAAAATCTACTACCAGTTATGAGTTTCCACTACAGAAATTTATAATTAATATGTAAAACAAATATAATAAACTCTCGTAAGTTTCATTGACAACAATCAACAGACAAATATATATAGTAGACAATATATTTCATACCTATCCTCATATCCATGATAAACATTATTGCACCACTTTTTACAACATGATCATCTATTCACGAGTGTATTCTTGGTAGACACTTCATCTGTTTATGACAATAGATAAAAGAAATACAATAATCAGCTGATTTTAAGTAACGACCTAAAAAGTAAATAGCATATGATTCATATTCTATTTAAGAAATAGAAATGATATATAAAACTATTCAATTACTGTCATATCCCTCTTATATTTGAATAGGAAAAGGGACACTTTAAATATACTTAATCATTATATATATAGAATAATGTACAATAGGGGCTCCAATCCAACACTAAAAATTGAGAAGTATGCATTAACATGGGGAAGCTCAGTTGACTGAAACCGCCTTGGAAGTTATTAAAAACCGTACCCGCATTGTCGTGGATTCGCAAGCGTCGGAAGGTGAAAAACGGTGAGTTGGGGGTCTTCTTGAAAATAAACTGGTGAAGGAGACTGGTGGGAACTGTAGAGAGCGCTCTAGGAATCCTCCTATGAGGATCTGTAGGGGTAATGAAGGGTCTGTAATGTAGCCGGCGCCGAGTTCTAACAATCCTGATGTGATCATGGAGGACGAGAGGGTTCAAAGATGTGGGATGGGCCAGATTAGGATTGAATCAGATAAGTCGGGTCACGGGTTTGGAGTTTCAACTGCTCAACTGGGTCAACCCAGTCCAAGTTTGGGGAGTTTGTGAGGCTTGCCCGTTTTGGGCCTTCAACTGCTTTAGTCACAACGGAATCCTTCTGGCCCAAACCTGGAGTTGTTGAGAGACCGGGCAGCTGTTATTGTTTTGAATGGGGAACTTGGGCCTTCCAAGGAAGATGTGATTTTGGGCACTTCTAATGTCAGCCCAAATTCTATTGGGGTTAAGGAGATTCAAATGGGTGGGTTGGTCTCTAATACTAATAGTGGCCATGGGACTAATGCTGTGGGGATTAAAAATGCCTCTCCAAGTCACTGTTTCTCGTCTTATGCATAAATTATATTGAGTAAAATTTCAGCATAGGGTTCTGATCAACGATGAAATTATAACAGACAGAAAGGGAGAAGAACCAACCTTGCAAGGAGGTCAGCATCACCGACAGTCTTTGCTGCGAACAAAGCTGCACATCTCGCATCATTTACTGCAACTCTCGCAACTCCTGAATAATCAAAATATTAAACTTGTAAAGAATTTCAACATTGATGAATAGAAGAGAACAAGTTACAAAAACAGTGACAAATTTAACCTCATTTTGAAGAAAAGAATGCAAGTATTATTTTGAGCGCATAGCTTATAGATTCTTTGTGCATCGGAAGTCACCCCAAATTTAACCATTTTGTAAAAATTAAAAGAATTATACATTAAATTAACTATAGCCTAACATAATTGAATTCCAACGGATGGGGCGTCTGCATCAAGCAAACAATAGGAAGCAACTTGAATATCCTAATTCATTGAAGAGAACTAAGAAAAAAACCATAAGCAGGTCATCTTAAGCACCTAGAACAA